TCATTCGATATGGCATCGTTCTGAATTATGGCCAGTTCTTTTTTAACATAAAATTGTGTGGATAACTTGGGTAAGCCAGTAGTCCAGGAACCCAGATTTATTCATAGATTTAAATATGTTCTTTTTCTTAAACCACTAAGTTGATTGATTTGGGTCTTTGTTTTTTTTCTCTTGCCCACGTACATAAGTCTATTGGGCAGCGAGTGGGTGAGAAGGTGGCAAAAGGGACGGGTGAGGAGATGGGGACTCGCCCTAAATGAATGAGCTCTGTGCACTTTGTTTCAGTTCACCCTGGCCTTATTCAGAGATTGAAGTGCTAGGAACATGCAATCATATGATAAACACAGAAGAGCAGCCCCTGCCCCGTGCCCACAGAGCAGTTTATTTTGACCTCTGTCATAGTTTCATCACTTTGTAATTCATGTTGCGGCTCGTTTTCACAGCTCCGCCTTCACCACTAAACTGTAAGATCCTTGAGGACAGAGCAAAGTCTTCCTGTCCGTGTATCCAGAAGTGCCTATCTCACCAGGGATGAGGAAATTTAATGAGTTGCTAGATTCATGAAAAGAGAGGAAAAAGTTGTCAGGTAGTATAAGAGGTAAAATGTTATTCAAATAAGTGTAAGTGAATACAATTTGAAACACTAATTTGTGATTTGGGAGTTACCAGAATCATTTTTAAGTCTAATACTAGACCTAAAAATTACTTAGCGATCATCCTTGTCAATGCCCTCATTTTAGAATGATAAAATTATATCTTATGACGAAAACTAAAGTTCTGAGGAAATTCATGGAAGTCCCACGGACTATATATTGTTTCAACTGTATTTTTGTTAAGCAAATAAAAGTTGTTCTTAGTAAAACTTCCACAAGCAGGATCTTTTTATTTCCAAATTACCAATTAAGAAAATGAAAATTTAAAAGGTTATGACACTTGCCCTACATGGAACTTAACCAACTTTACTATTGATACCGTCACACTAAATATTTATTTTAGAAAAGTATATTTTAATTTAGAGCTATTTCTTGATTTTTCATTTTTATCACAAAATGACTGTCCAAAACCAAATTTAAGGTATTTTTTCTTTACGCAGAGCTCCAGATTCTCACATGTTCTCTTTCAGCATTCTCTTACTTCCTGATACCTTCTGCTCAAAGATACCTCTTGCCAACATCCATTTTTTTTCCTGTTTTCCTTAAAATACCCTAAAAAACTATTTGCATTTTGTTTATCTAGGCATAGTTGTTTTCATCATGGCTCCCAGAATTATCCAGCAGAAGTGAAAAATTCTATAGTCATAATATCAACTTATCTCATATGAAAGATAACTAAAAGATGGACACCATCACATACGTTCTCCAGTGAAGCAGCCACAGCAGCCGTGAAAGACGATTAGGCTCTGTTTACAGTTCTGTATCAGCCCGGGGAGGATGTGTGAAGTCTGACCTTACCCGTGACATCTAGCCAGTCCGACCATCATTACACAAGGATTCATTTTTCATTATGATACTTACGTGAAAACTGTTAATTTATATCAGAACACTTCCCTTACTCTCTTTTGTTTAAGGAACAGAAACATTAATTCAGAAGATATATGCATTGAATTATGAGATTTTAATTTTGAGCTAGAGATTGGGAGTTCTTTTATTGAACATTTGAGATCTGAAAAATCACAACCCCACTAATCGGGTTCATGTCATTTTTTTAACATACTTTTACATTTCTAAAGGATTTATCTTTGAATCTTTCTTCTAAGAAATCATTCATTTTTTCTATTTGCAAAATGCGTAGGAGGTGGAGAATCTGTTTGTGATTCTAGCAGCAATAGTACACATTGGAGACATTCGGTTCACTGCTCTGACCGAGGCCGACTCTGCATTTGTTTCTGACCTCCAGCTTCTGGAACAAGGTCAGTGGAACAGAGCTAATGTTAACTTCATGGGTGTGCAGTTTTGCAGAACTGCCAGTAGATGGTGACAAAGGACAGAAGAGCCAGGCGGACTAAAACCCTCTAGAGCAGAATTCAGTGTGACTGGTGGGGAAAAAAAGAACCGTAACCACTTTGTTCTTTTTTATAAATGGTTATGGGAATGAATAACAAGATGTACATTTATGTTCTCCTTCTTCCCACCACATTAACAGGTTGATCTTTCAGCACATACTTGGGTTTATTTATATTATTCTAAGTATTCTCCACCCCCACCCCCGCTACCCAGTATATTTTGGGGGCATGTTATTAACGAAACATTTTAAACCGAATATAATTACTTCCCTGCAAAGATCTTGCCAAAAATTTCTCTCCTTTGAAGTTGCCTGGTTAGTCACTCCCAGGTTTTTTTCAAATTACCTTAAAACCACAGATTGTCAGTGAACAGCCTATCTTCACCTCATATCAAAGTAATTTAACAAGGAATTGGGAGAAAACATTTAGGGCCATCTGTGAGGGCAAGGAGGGAAAAAACCTGCTGTGATTTAATGCAGGAGACCCAAGAACTCATTAACATTTTGATTACTTATAGGCTGTTTTTTTAGTTGGATTTGACAATTAAGGTGGTAGTTTAATTTTAATACATGCATTTTCTAATGAGCCTATATAAAGCTTATAAATTATAACCTGAAAATACAATGTTCTCTCTGTCAAAAATATATACTAACTTTATGTTTTCAATGCTACTTTAATTTTAGTGGCTGGAATGTTACAAGTTTCAATTGATGAACTGGTGTCTGCTTTAACAACTGATATCCAATATTTTAAAGGTAAGATTTTCTATGCTCTGGTTTTCACTTTTATGCAATCGTGGTCTTCTTTGAAATATAGAAAGTAAATACAAACTTACCTTTCCCCACTAAGTGAAACTATTTCTCTGAATTGAATGCCAAATGAGAAAAACATTATAAACCCCTTTGGTCACTTGATCTGACTATATTATAAACTCTTTATACTCCTGAGAGACCTTTTTGATTAATTGGTCATCTTTTCTAGCTAATCGGTTATTAAACAAATAAAGGCATCAACCCAATAGGATCTATGCAAGTAAAACATTGGATCCATTTGTGTATGTGGTTCCATGCTGCCCCCTTCATTGAAGAGTGTCCTTTTTTCTCTACCTCATCAATCATAATAATAGCTGCCATTTTGGGGGCACTTAACTACAAGAATGGTCCTAAGCACTAAAACATGGGAAATTTTTAATCCTTACAAATCACTGTGAGATGGACATAAGTATTTCTATATTAACAGATAATAAAACTAAGATTCAAAAGATTAAATAACATTGAATGCAAATCACTAGTTAATGGCATGTTTAGAATTAAAATCTAATGCTATCTAACTCCCAAGATGAATTTCTGTGCTATGTGCATCACTATTTAATGGGTAAGGAAAGTAGTTTTCCTACATGCTCTTTAATTATTCACTATAAATCATTGTCTTATCAACCTTCCCCCGTACTGTAATTTTGAAGACTCACCATCCAGCCGATCTTTTTTTCTCTAAATTACCACTTATTTACTTCTGTTTCTACTGGACCTACTTGCAGGTATTTAGGTATGTGACTTATAATTTCTTCTTCATATCTAGAGTTAAGCTTCTATATTTTTGAACTTTATGAATCTCCCCACTATCCATTCAGTTGCCCAAAAGTCATTCTTGATACCACTTCCTCCTCTTTCTTCAGTGAGTAGATGAGACACAAGACAGTTCTACTCCATAAATATCTTTCATTCTCACTGCCATCTCTTC